AAATACTTTAAAAAATAAATAAAAGAACCCACACAACTGTAGCACAAAGTTTGTAAAATACTTAAATATATGGGGCATTTATTCAAGCAAGGATGTTAATATAAACTCAGTTTAGCTCCAACTAAATATATCAAGTGCTCATGACATATATTTAAGAGAATCTATTCATGATCATAATAGACTTTGTTACAAAGCCATGAAAGGAATTACATTTCAGAAAGACTCACTCAATACTGATTAAAATGAAGCTTTAGCATGTGAAAAAATAAGGTTTATGTATTCATCATAATTTATTCCCTGATGAGAATTAATGGATCATGTGCATTTGTACATACGAATAAAATAATATGAAACATGGGATTTAGGATGGACAGATTTATAACTAGGACTCACTTCTATGTACTCCTATTCCTGCCTCTAATGATCCATGTGACCTTGGGACAGTTTTAAACTTTAAACTATCCACAACAGTGGATTTATCTAAAAAAAAAACCTGCCTTTAATTATCCATGTGACCTTGGGACAGTTTTAAACTTTAAACTATCCACAACAGTGGATTTATCTGACAAAAAAAAAAAAAAATGAAGCTTGGCAGGAATATGTATGTCACTTTACAGAAGTGCTATGGGAACCAAATTAACTCATGAAATCAGAAGACTTTTTTGAAACTGAAAACAGCTACAGAGATAGTAGAGATGGTTTGTGGCAGACCTGCATGTCTGTGACAAACACCTTACACAAACAACTGAAAGGAGGAAGGATATATTTTAGCTCGAGGTTTCATATGATTCAGTCCATGAACAGTTGGCTGCATTGTTTGTAGACTGTGGTAAGGCAGAGCATCACAGTGAGGAAGACACAAAGGAACAAAGTTGCTCATCACCTAATGGCCAGGAAACAAGGGGTGGGGCATGAAAAGATACAGCCCTCAAAGAGATACTCCAGTGACTCAGTTCTTCCAGCTCAGCCCCACATCTGGAAGTTTCCAAAACTTCCCCAAATAGCACCATTAGCTGGGGACCAAACTTTCAGTACATGAGCCTTTTGGGTGGACACTTTATACAAAATAGCATTAAATGGAATAATGAAAATAAAGCCCTTTTTACTATAATGCCCATTACATCTAAATTCTCAATAGTAGCTCTGCACAGAAGCACACATATGCACTTACACACTTCTCTCACATATGCTTATGTGTACACACCAGCAGCAGCCACAAAGCTGACATAGTTTTTAAATGTTTTAAATATAACTTTTTTAAATTAATCCCTATGTGCACCTACTACTTACAAATCTTTAGCTAATTTTATTTTTCTTGTTCTTTTCTCCCCTCTCTCTTACCCCAAGAAACCTGAACCCACTGATAAAATCTCTTGTTCTACTTATTGCTGGACATTTTACAGTGATTTTCTCCTCTAATGTATCAAGCGTTGCTATCAGAGAAGGAAAAAAAATCAAGTCTAACTTTTAGAGGAGCTACACATTGACACTGTGAAGATCATATCATAGAATTTTAAGATCCATGATAATCTTTTTATAATTTTTTCTAAAAGTAAATCTTGTAATATCTTAACTCTTGATTTTATATCTCACACTAAGAAGCAATTGTCTGTAAGTTTTCCAAACTATCTCCATGGCTATGGTTCAGACATATGGTTCCAATGTTAGTCTGAGTTCCTTCAAAATGAAGACATTTTCTAGTGGAAGTTTTAAGTTGATTCCTTGTTAACTATGTGAACAAGTAATAAATACATGTAAACAATTCTACAAGGGGGGAAAGTACTGTCAAGTGTGCTCCTGTGGTGGTCACCCTACTCTGTTATTTTTTCTGCTAATTGGCTTTAGGTAAGAGAAGTCTAAAAAGCAGATAGAAATATGGTAGTTTATATCTAATAATAAGCATAGAAATGCTTGAGCAAGACTTTATTATAAACAGATTCTCACACACTCAGCCTTCTAAAGATGTACCAAACACTGACTTTTATGACGCTTAATACTCACACAATGGTGGGTCAACAGAGTGGCATGAAGCCCCTGCCCTTGCAATACTGGCATTTTCAGGCTTGTGTGCCGGTCATTTACCCCTTCCCATTTCTGGATCACCCTCCCTTACCCTCCACATGTCAGTTGACCCAATGTCACACAAAGATTGCAGAATACTATCTCTCTGTGATTTTCTTTCTGACCATCTTAATAAATTTAACCATTTTTCTCTTATTTTTGGACACTCAAACCCAACACTCTTGACCTAAACAGCAGTGCTGTACACGGGCCTTAAACAGCTTTTTGTGCTTGTTTTTTTTCTGACTTCCCCATTGATGTATGAATAACTTGAAAAAGAGTCCCTGCATTACTTATTATGTAGCCCCAGAACCAGTTAATTGCTTGACACATAACACAGTGCTTGAGAAATGTACATAGACTATAGAAATAAATAGCGTTATGGGCATTTTTCTGATGAACAAAAGAATTGGATAAAAATAGTGCTAAGTGAATAGAGGTTGTGTTTGTAACATATAAGAGAAGAAAATTAAAATAAAGCATCATGGGCAGGGCAAGATATAGGGAGATAGTGATTTTTAAAAAAAAACAATGAAAATAGCCCCCACATTAGCAAACAGTACAGGTATTATGAATAAATCATAGGAGACAGCAACAATATTACTCACTGTTCTTAACTGATCCTACCGGGAGGATCTGAGATTGTTTAGGCCTGCCCACTCATTTGCCACACTCCAACTGTCTCCTGCAGTGAGGCTAAAGCCATGCAGAGTATACCAAACAGCTACCCTAGCAGGATGTCCACTCATCTGTGAGTGCTGGAGAGACAGGAATGATGTTTAAATACTTAGGGAATGGGGAGAAGCAATAAACTCTCTTCCGAGAACCATCCCTCTTTCATATAATCTAGTCTAGTAAAAAAAAAAAAATGCGATAACCATGTAGGCAAAATAGGCAGGGTTAAAGGATGAATCTCAAAAATGCTCTAAGGCAATACAAAAGCAAATAGTCTATAAAGGGGGAAATGGGAAGTTCTGTTATATCTGTGCTTGGATCTAAAGGAAGGAGTACTAACAGTGCAAAGTCTTTAAGAATATAAGGGAGGGGCTGGAGAGTTGCCTCAGTAGTTAAGAGTGCTTGCTGCTCTTGCAGAGGACTTGGGTTTGGTTCCAGCACCTACATGGTGGCTCAAACTTTCTATAACCCAGTTTCAGGAGATTCAACACCATTTTCTGGCTTCCACAGGCATCAGGTATACACATGGTATACATACATTCAGGTAAACACTCATACAAATAAAAGAAAAATAAATATATCTTATTTTAAAAGAATATAATAGAAAAGGCACATTCATATTTGTACTACAAATTTAGTGAAGGGGTTTTGTTAATTGGTTTGATTTGGTTTGGTTTAGTTTGGTTTGGTTTGGTTGTGAAACAGGGTCTCATTGTATAGGCCTAGCTGGCCTGGGACTTTCTACATAGACCAGACTGGCCTTGAACTCACAGAGATTCACCTGCCTCTGCCTCCCAAATATTGGTATTACGGGTGTGTTCACCATACCCAGTCAAGTGAATCATTTAAGCGTTCAAAACGTTCTGACACCCCAGAGTAACTATGCAACTTGGGTTGAGACATCACTCCACTTCAGGGAGACTCAGGAGTTATTAACAAAGGACACACTGATATCATCTCTTTTGTCATTTATCTGTACAGTTTGCCACAAGGGACAACCGTAGAGACCCTCAATTTCCAGTCTTCTTCCTTACATAGGAATCTATAGAACATAGGAAATCACAAGCCACCTATAAGATGTTCATTCCAGTTTCTATGAGTCAGAAGAGAAAATAAACTTAGAATATAAGGACTCAGAACTGGCTTGGACTAGCAACAGGAGCCACAAAGTTTGTAAAAGCAGTTGTTTTCATCTCTGTGTCTCTTGGAAAATATCTTCCAGCTCTGTTTCAGAGTAGACATAAATAAACTCTAGGGGGATTATTCACAAAATAAAATATTCCCATAATCTTCTCCATTGAGGACACAAAATAATATACTATGGTTTTGCTTGTTTTAATATAAGTAAGTACCTGGAGAAATATGAAGTTTGTACTGTTCACTGCAAGAATGGAACTTAACAGCATTTAATTTGAACTCTAGAATCACCACAACCAAGGTCTAAGAAAGCAACTCCAATTCCACTGCAGCTGCCATGTAAAAATTAAAAACAAAAGCTTCTGTTAGTTTAAAAGAGAAAAGTTATGAAAGTGAAGGAGTAAAATGTAGCTACAGGGAACATTCATCAGCATGTGCTCTTACTGCTCAGCCTCTAGGGAACAAGAAACTTTCACCTTGCATGCATAGGAAAAAGAAACACACATAGAAACTGGTAACATTTAAGGAGCTACAATGGCTAAAAAATGAAATGATTATTTATTTCATTGTCATGATTTACCTCCTAAGAATAAAATTTTCATCCCTAGAACTTACTGTCCTTAGGCCCCTGCCCCCTGTGCTCCACTTTCCCCTTCTCCACATCCCTTTACCAGACTAGATCAAGGACTTGACTGTCAGAGAGTTCATATAAAGTGGTTTCCGGGCATGGTGGCATACGTTTTTAATTCCAGCACATGGGAGGCAGAGGCAGGCAAATCACTGTGAGCTCAAGGCCAGCCTGGCCTATATAGTGAGTTCGAGCCCAGCTGGGGCTACAGGGAAACCCTGTCTCAAAAAAGACCAAAAAAAATAAAAAATAAAAACATAAATTGAAGGCCAAAAGAAGTTTCAAAACTCAAACCATCTGGCACTGAGACAGCAGGCTTAGTCCTGCATGGAATAATCCTTAGACCTGAGAATAAAGAACCGCAGAGAAATTTTGCTTTCTGAGTTCATTGGGACATAAAAATAAAAGCATGTCTATTTTCTGTAGACATTGTATTTGATGAGTGTGTGGATCATGGCTTGTTTGTGAGTAGACACACCAGGCTGAAAGACTCAAACTGTTAAGAAGTGTTTCTGCCCACAGCCCTGCGTAGAGCATCCTTGACCTCCTTGTTTCTCAGACTGTAAACAACAGGGTTCAGCAGGGGAGTGATGATGGTGTAGGTCACAGAGAGAAGGAGATCTTTTTCCACTGAACTTTCTGACTTGGGTTTGAGATAGGCAATGGAGGCACAACCATAATGGACAATGACCACAGTCAGATGAGAGGCACAGGTAGCAAAGGCCTTCTTCTGGCCTTCAGCTGAAGTAATTTTGAGGATGGAAGTTATGATGAGGACATAGGAGATGAAGATCAGCCCTATGGGCACAAGAATCACAAACTTACACCATAATTGATGATCTCGTTGAGAGTGGTATCAACACAAGAAAGCTTCATGACTGGGTATATGTCACAGAAAAAGTGTTCCACCATTTTGCCACAGAAGGGCATATTGAACATGGCTGGCACATGAAGAACTGCCATAGCCAGACCAGTGCCAAAGGACCCACAAACCAACCAGGCACACATTCCTTTGTTCATGATAACCATGTACCTCAAGGGCTTGCAAATGGCCACATAGCGGTCGTAACCCATTGCTGTGAGCAGAAAGCAGTTATTAGTGGCCAATGTGACAAAAAAGAACATTTGAGTTGCACAACTTGCCAAAGAGATGGTCTGGTTATAAAAAATCAGGCTGGAAAGCATTCGTGGGACAGTGACCAGTGTGTACACTGTCTCTGAACTAGCCAGCATGCTCAGGAAGAAGTACATAGGGGTGTGGAGGTGATGGTCAATGTGTGTGATAGTCACAATGATGATGTTGCCAGCCAAGGTTAAAATGTAGATAGTTAGAAAAATGGCAAAGAGAGTGATTTGATGTTTTCCAAAGCTAGAGAATCCCAGGAAGATGAATTCTGTCACTTCCGTGAAGTTCTTTCTTTGCATTCTGTTCTGTCAGTGTCTAAAAGCAATTAAGAAGAGTCATCAAAGGGAACTTAGCATCAGCAACTAGACTTTAAAACAAGGCACTGTGATAACTGGACTAAGAAAGTGAACCCACTTCTCTCTTTATGACCATCAAGTTCACATCTAAAGTCTTTGCCCATGAAGAAAGAAACCTTTGCCTCGCCTCTGGAATTTATGCATCTGAACATTAGAAAAACTGTTTCCTATGCAAGAAAACTTCTGAGTGCAAGGTCCCCTCACCATAGTGATGCTGGGTTGTGAAAGAGGACAGGAGGGAGAGAGCCATGTTTTGTTCCCACTTGAACCCTCTTAGTAAGAATGATCACCAGTAATGCACATGTTAAGAAAATCATACGGATGAGTGTTTACAAATAACATGACTCAGTATGATGAGGAAGATGGACTTTAAAAAATGGTTGCTAGGTTTTATGACAAAGTATCAAGAACTTTTGCGTAGTGTTTCAGGTGAATTCTGAATGGGGAAACATAATTCCAACAAAATGACATAGACCAGATACATAATCAAATTCTCAAAGCAGAACAACTACAAAGCAATTTCCGCCATGGTCGATCCACTGACACTGATCCCTCAAGTCCCACCAAGGAACTCTTTCTTTAGTGAGTCAGGAAGAAGGAATTCTGACTGAGAAAACACTTTTTTTCTACTGAAATGAGAAAGGGTTAATGTAAACTACAGTTAAGAGAATATAAGCTCCGTAGTTGAGAAAGAAAACAGTCTGCTAGGTGTTTGGAGCCCAACTAATACCTATTTAAAACTCTAGTGAACAGACAGTTGGGTCTAATTATGAGACGCAGAGTACACTAGTCTCTTTTGTTGAGAGAGAGAGAGAGAGAGAGAGAGAGAGAGAGAAGAGAGGGAGAGAAAACGTAGGCTGGGAATGTGACTCAGTTGGTAGAGTACTTGCCTAACGTGCCCAAGGCCTTGGATTCACTCTCCAGAACTGCATCATGGGACACTTAGGAAGTAGAGGCAGAAGAATCAGAACTTCAAGGTCATCCTTTGCTACAAGGGGAGAGAGAGAGAGAGAGAGAGAGAGAGAGAGAGAACTCTAAATGAGAATCCATAAACTGCACGTGGATCACACAGCTAACCCTGTGGTTCTCTACCATGACTGTCGTTGTTCCCTCTCCATTTAAAGAATTACTGAATCCAGGCTGGAGAGATAACTCAGCAGTTAAGAGCACTGGCTGCTCTTGCAGAGGACCAGGATTCAGTTCCCAGAACCCACATGGCAGTTAACAACTGTCAATAACTCCAGTTCCAGGGGATCCAACACCCTTTTCTGACTTCCACGGGCATTGCATGACATGGGTACACTGACATGCAGGCAATATATTCATACACATAAAATAAAAATAATAAATAGAATATTTTTTAGAAAAGAATTACTGAATCGATTTCCTTTCTGACCCTCTAATTCCTTACAAGTTGGCTTCACGATGTTCATGCCCCTGAAATCATTTGCTCACATTTCACTGGAGAAGTCTCCATTCCTAAAGCCGTCAGACTATGCATTTTTTCTTCCTGTTCCCATCCCTCTATGCTTGGTTTGACACTTCTGACCCCCTGCTTCATGAAAACATTCTCTAACCTTGGTTTCCATGACACCACACTACTTTTCTATCATTCCAGTTCATATTTAGCTACCATCCACGAATCCGCTCACTCCACCAGGACCATGGTTACATACCTGTTTTCTGGCCCATCCTTGACCCTTGATTTTTCTCTCTGTACTCTCCCTCTTAATTTTCTCTGCTGTTTCAATGTTAATTGCTTTCCATTTCTATTGACAATCTTTTTTCAAAATCTCCAACATACCTCTCTCTTGACTTTTCTATTTTTATATCTTCAAGTCACAATAAATTTTTGTATTTTTGCAAACAAATTAGACATTACTCATTCTCCACTTTCCTGTTTTCCTTGGTATGCCATGACATCATTCTTGGCAGTCAATGTTGGCATTCTGGAGTCACATTCATTCCCACATCACATTCAGTTGATTTTTCTTTCAAGTATACCCCATTTTGTCCCAGTTTCTAGATTCACAATGCCCTGCCTAAGATTAAAACATTCTTAAATAGGTGTGACAAATTAGATCTGTAATGCCACCTTTTGGGAGACAGAGTCAGAAAATTGACAAGTTCACAGCCATCCTAGGCTACTTAACATGGTCCTATCTCAAAAGAACAAAAAAAGCAATGACCAAAAACAGTTGAGGTACCCAATCTTCTGACTAAGATAAGAAAACATATTCTCATTCTAAAATTTAAATGTCTATGGAGTGTCAAATAATTTTGAAAAGGAGTTACAAATCCTAAGTCACCCTACTGTCGCTGAAAACTATAGTGATCAAGATAACGTACAACTGGTAGAAGTGTAGAACTCTACAACAGCTGACGATGATTCCCTGCAGTGACTGTTTCATTGTTTCTCTTCATTTTCAGAACTACTGAGACAGATTTCCTCTCTTATCTGCAATTCCTGACAAGTTGTATTTACCATGACCATATACACAAATCCATTTGTTGAAATGCTGCTGAAAAAGGCTTTATTGCTGAAGCTGTCAGACTTGATTTTTCTTCCTATTCTCATCTTGCCCTGCTTCATTTAACACTTCTGCCCCCTGCTTCATGGAAACATTGGGCAATGTGATTGTAGAGTTCAAAAATAGAACACTTATATGGTCAACTATTTTTTTCTAAAGTGCTAAGGTATCTCAATGATTTATTTTCAACAATTGTGGCTGTAACAAGTAAACACTCAAGACTAGAATAAAAATAAATCTCAAATTTTGCCCCATGACATACACAGAAATTATGCTAAATGAATCATAGATGTGTATAAAAGATAAAATTATTAAAATCTCTAGACAAAAATAAGAGATGGAAATTTTGTGACCCTGAAATAAGGAAAAGTTTCTTAGCTAAGTAACAAAAAGCTTAAATTAAAAAAGAGCAAAATCACAACTTGAACTTTATTAAAACCAAAAACTTCTACTTTTTAAAGGGCATTGTTAGAAAAAGAAAAAGATAAGGCACGGGCTAATAGAAAATATTCACAATACAAAGTTGAAGTTTCACACAGAATATACAAAGAATTTTTAAAAGTTAAGACACAGTTTTAATTGGTAAAATATTTAAATATTCATAGAAGAACATGTAAAAGGGCTAACAATCAGAAACATTAGCCATCAAAGAGATGTAAAATAAAGCCACAATGAGATAAGACTACACACCTCCTCAAATGGCTAAAATTAAAAAGCCTAACAACACCTAATGTGGTAACCAAGTGATAGAGCTAGAAGTCTTAAATACTGGTGGTTGGAATGTAAAGCCAATGTGGAGAATAATGTCATAATTTTTTATGAAGTTAAATCTATACCTAACTCCATGACTCAGTAATTTTTCCTAAGCATTTACACAAGCAAAGCAAAACTGTATCCACACAAAGATATTTATATGTACATGTTTCTAGGAGTCATCTTCCTAAGAGCCAAAAACTGCAAACAACACAAATGTCCAAATTATGGTATAGTTATATAATGAAGTATTCTCAGCAATGTAAAGAACAAATTACAAGAACAAACAGCAACATGACTGAATCTTAAAAGCATGCTGAGCCAAAATTTAGACACAAAATAAATAGTACTTCATGATGCTCTCTGTATGAAGTTCTACAAAATATAAATTTAATCTTTACTGGTGGAAAACAAACCAGTGTTTGCAGAACACTGGAGAATTAACTTGGAAAGAATATAATCAAACTCGATAGGGTAAAGGAAGAGTTCTTGATGTGGGGCTACTATAAGTCTGAAAATTTATTAAGTACAGAGTGTACTTAATATTGATGCATTCTGCATTGCTATTTGTGTTGCATTGTGTTGCATTCTACTGTGTTACACTACATTATATCATACCACATTGTATAATATCATAGCATTTTTCTTTAGGGTCTTGTGCATGCTAGGCAAGCACTGTCCCATGGAGTTACACCCCGCCTATCAGATTGCTTTGCAATATACTTCACTGGAGCTGACTTTTTAAAAGATTTAAAAGATTCTCATTTGACTATGAGTAACATGTATCCCTGTATAGTTGTCACAGTCACAGTTTGACTTATAATTTTCAGGGAGTGGGGTCAAGGAGGAGCATTACGGTGTAAGAAACGCTTAGAAAACCTGGAATTGGATCTGGAGTCTATAGATGTCAAACATTAGATGTGGGACAAATCACTTGTTTTCTGTGTCTCTGTAACCTCAAATGCAAAGCTGGGGGTCTTAACAAAGCTGAGTTCTAGTATTCTAATTATATACTATTTCTCTGATCTGAGGAAAACACCTCTGCTGGGCAGATGAGGCTTGTCAGACCTTCTCATTAAGCTGATACGCCCTGTGCAACATCCCCACTGCTGTAAGCAGAATAATCTCCCCAGAGCAAAGGAATATGCCAGTGCCCATTTCCAAATCTGTGCCTATGTTAATTTTTTTTGCCTTACCTGGAATGGCCTTCATTCCTTGCTGCTACTCAGATACTAACCCTTGACTCCTGAAATCACATCTTCACCTTTCCCAGGACACTTTGAGCTTCCAAATGAAATTATATTCTTGTTCTTGAATTTAAGAATTTCAAGTCTATTGAACTAGAATGTATCTACTTTTAATTTTTAATGACGTCTTAGAAGCATTTCAGGACTCAGCTCATTACCTATCACATCCACGATGTCCTCTCATAACAACCCAATTCTTTGCTCCTATCTCTTTCATAAAGCCAATACCCAGCAGTGATCTGGAGCCTGCTTGCACCTCCTCACCAGAGCAAACTGCACACACCATTTCCCAGCTCCGAATTCAGTAGTTTCACGTTTGGTAGATTGAAATCTTTGGAGAAATAGTTTCATCTAGAAATTAACAAACATTAAAAATCAGAACTTGCTTATTTCCAGAAAGGTGGTTGTTAAATTGGTTGTTACCAATTCAACCCTGGATTTCCTCTGCATCACTTATGGTACTTTCATTCACGCTATTTTGTGCCACCCTGTCTGTTGTCCTTTGTGTTAACACTAAGTCGTTAGATTGTAAACTCTGAAAGGAAAAAGTGCTAAGATTTCTTAACATAATTCAAAGCACCTAATAAGTGTTAGCTGACTGAAGAATCTAGGATCCCATTGCAATGTAATGCAGTTGTTTGTCAAAGGGTCAGAGGTACTACCCATGAAATTAGTGGGACCCAAAAATGAAGAATGCCTCCCTGCACCATCCTGGGGTAAACAGCAGTGTTTTCTCTCTCCATTCTTCTCCACATCAGCCTAAAGGGAGTCAAATGACAGTGGGAATCTAGAGCAACCATGAGAAGTGGGGTGGGGGGGTGCAAAAAAGAGAGAAGAGTTAATTCAGAGAGCTTTCACTTAGTAAACAATTTTGGAGACTAGTAGGGACAAGATTCTAAGTTGTCAGTGGAAGGCAGATTTTCATTAGCTGAATTTTCTTCCAACCCTTGCCTCTGCCAGGTGGTCAATGCATTTGCTGTCCAAATTGAGAGATTAGGGTGAGGCAAAGTGTTAGCAAATTCCCTGTGCATACCAGCATTACCACCACTCCTGGACCCTTTCTCTTCATTAGTGAATAGATTTTGAGCTCATTGGTTCTTTATCAAGCTGCTTAAGTCAATCCATTTAGAAGACCTAAGGAACTGTGAAACCTTAAGAAATTTGTTTAGTCTTACCAACTCTAATGCTCATCTGTTAAGTACAATAACAATAGGACTGACATCAGAAAAATATTGTGAGATTTAAATAAGCTAATCCAGTCAGAGCACTTAGGGTATGATAAATATTCAATCACTGTGCCCTAAAATTATCTTTGGTATGACTCTAGTAAGGAGAAGCAATCCAAGATCTTTTAAAAAGTCACTAAGTAACAATGAAAAAAATGATGAAAGCTGAGAGAGAGAGAGTGAGTGAGTGAGAGAGAGAGAGAGAGGTTGAATATTTGAGTAGATTAACCTAGGAAAATAAGAACACTGAATGAAAGAGACTAATAACCTATTATTAAATGCATTGATAATTATAAGAAATCATATTTATCTTTTAAATCAGAGTGAACCTGTGAGACAATGGGAAAGAATTTAAAATCTACAACTTGGGTCAGTTTCCTGAAAATTAGTCTTACATGTAACTGACTACTACATAACAAAAACAGAACTCCATGACCTCTTCTCCAGGGACTTTGAAACCCAAGTCAGTCCAAAGATACCATAGATGGATAACATGAACTCTTTAAAACGCTTTCATTATTACAAGTATCCAAGCAATTCAAGGAAGGAAAGCACTTGATAAGAAGAATCTTCAGGCTCCTCCTTTAGGACTTGAGCTCAGCAGGCACTTTTGTGATGTCTCCCATCCAAATTCCAGATCCTGGAAAAGGCTGAATATAAGAACAACTGGGACCAGAGCTTGCCTAAGTAAGACACACGGCATTCTCAACACATCTCAGATCTGTTCCAACTACATCTACAAAACAACAGAAAACAACGAAATAGCAAACATACGTCTCATACCTCCTCAAGATTATGCACCTTCACAATTACTCACCTCTCTCCAGATCCAGACAGAACTGCAACCATAGTTAGAGCAAGAGTGGGGTATGACATGCCAAGTGGTTACCCTGGCCCTGAAAGCTATACTAACACAGTAAGAAGAGGAAGCTCCTATGAATTCAGAGATCAGGAGGGAATCTCAGTGGGAAGTCATGTTGTCTACTTTCCTCTCCAGGGTCTCCTCTCCTTTGAATTCCCAGAGCATCTCAAGGGAACTAGTAGAGTCAGACTCCAATCAAATGCCAAGGGATTTTATTAAAAATGGGGTTTTTTTGTTTGTCCTACATGTTGATACTTTGTGATCCCTGGAGCCAACCTTTCAGATATTTTCCCTTTCCTATATTCTAACATTGCCAAAGGAGATGTCATGTATTTGGTCCATGAATAATTTTCTTTAGAAAATAGTGAATTCATCTCTGTACTGTTTCCAAGGGAGAAGACATTTATGGAATTTGTAAAATTTCTTAAGAATATCCACTTGTTAGTAAGTTTGATTTTATCAGGATATATTTTTCTTTGTAGAAAATCATAGCCTGAATATTAGTTCTTAGACTTGCAAGAGAGTTTTCAATATGTACATCAAATTCCTGGCACCTTCAGCTCCCTGTTCACACAATGCCAGCTCCCCTTGGATAATGCAAGCTCACCTCCTCAGCATATCCCATGAGATCTTCCCAAAATTATAAGAAAGATGTTTCAATTTTCCATTTGACCGTGTTAATTGTTCTTTTCTTACTAGAAGCTATAGAATCAGAGAAAGATTTTTATATACTTAGAACTCCTTATAATATTTGTCATCCTAGAATGATATGCACACATGTGTGCATGCACACATACACACACACACACACACACACACACACATCATAATCAAGTTGTCACATCAGCTATGGCATCTGTTTCCATCCAATACAATAATGAACCTTATATAATCCTTAATGTTTTAGAAGGTCCCTGAAGCAAATCTATAAATTCTTCAGTGATCTTTTACCTCCAAGATCTTTGCCTTTCTACTAATCTAAGCTTCTAGCAGCTCTTGTATGTGACAGAGGCAACGACATCATTCGTTCTTATTCCTTGGGGTGTTTTTCCTTTTTAAACTGACTTTTTAGCTAGCATACAAAGCAATGGGTTTCACTGTGACATTTTATGTATACACATCATTTAACATTGTTCTTATATGTCACCTCCCACTTCCTTCCTCCATCACCCTCTAAACTCTTGCTGCTCTCCTGTTCCCACTATAATATAGTCCACATGTTGCCCCATTAGATCACTTCCTCCCCTCTCACTGCCCCCTTTTTACCTTCATGCCCTAAACACACACACACACACACACACACACACACACACACACACACGGTCACCGCCAGCGGCAGCCACTCCTTCATTCTCACAGCATTGAGGCTGCTCTTCCGCTCTCCCTGGGTTGAGGCCGTTCTTCTGTCTGCCCTGGGCTGAGGCCGATCTTTTGCTCCCCTGGTGCTGAGGCAGCTTTTCTGCTTACCCTATGCTGCCTCCTGTTGTCCCCACTTCTGCCTGGTCCTGGACCCCACGGCTGGTGAAAAAACTCTGTCAGTGGAGCCACATCCAGACACAGGAGACCAGGTTCAGTGACACAGGTCTGCTTTATTGAAGAAAGGCACAAGCTTATATAAGGGTAGTGGTCCAATCATAGCACAGTAAGCAGGATACCTTATTAGCATAACAGACAGCATTCTATTAGCATAACAGACTTAATGTCCTATCACAGAATAGAGGGTAGGATGCCTCATTAGCATACAGGGTTTCATAAAAATAATAAATAAAAATTTAAAAAAATTTCAATTCATAGTAAACCCTCCTTATGTTTAACTGGTTTGCTTTCCTGTAGTATCATCACAATTTCCATAAATAAATGCAGTAGAACACACACACACACACACACACACACACAAATTTAAATCTAAATTTTGTATATGAGTGAAAACATGCAATATTTATCTTTCTGGGTCTGACTTATTTCACTTAACATAATGATCTCCAGTTCTACCCATTATATACAAATGTCACAATCTCATTTTTCATTATACCTGAATAAAATTCTTTTGTGTGTATGTACCATATTATCTTTTAAGATTTTTTTATAAACTTTTTATTTATTTTTATTTTAAGTGTATGAGTGTTTTGCTGCAAGTAGGTGCACTAACATCATGCAGTGCCTGCAGAGACCAGACGAGAACATCAGATCTCCTGGAACTGGAGTGACAGATGGTTGTTAGCCACCAGGTGGTAGCTGAGAACTGAACCCTGGTCTTCTGCAAAAGCAGCCAGTGCTCTTAACCACTGAGCCATCTAGCCCCTATTTTATGTGTGTGTGTGTGTGTGTGTGTGAGAGAGAGAGAGAGAGAGAGAGAGAGAGTTCATGTACATGTGCCTGGGGAGGCCAGAGAGGGCATTGGATCCCCTGAAGCTGGAGTTCAGGAGGTTCTAAGCTGCACTCCGGTCCTCTGAAGAGCAGCCAGCACTGAGCCATCTCTCCAGCCCCTGTCATGTTCTCTTCATTCATTCATCTGTGGATGAACTTCCATCCACGCTCCACATCTTGGTTACTGTGAACACTGCAACAGTAAGCATGGATGCACAGTGCTTTACAGTATGTTGTACTGAGATTCTTGCAGTTATATAACCAGGAACAGTATGACTCACATGGTAGTTCAATTTTTAATTTCTGAGGAACCTCTATACCAATTTCCATAGTGATCACACCGCTTTACACTCCCATCAGCAGTGTATAAGGGTTTCTCTTTCTCCACATCCTTACTAACATTTGTCCAACATTTATTTACATTTTTTAGCAAAACTTCAACCTTATGGAAAATTTTCAGAGACTCCTACGTAACCTTTGCCCAGATTCACCAGTTTACACTTTGTCCCATTGGCCTTATCAGCTATAATTCTAAATTTTATTAGAGGAAGTCAGAGACATTGTGCTTCTTATTTCTAAATACATCAGTGACTGTTTCCTAAGGGACAGGAAACTATCTTATATCACATAATCAAAATATAAACAAACTGGGGCTAGAGAGATGGCTCAGCAGTCAAGAGAACTGGCTGCTTTTGCCGGGCATGATGGCACAAGCCTTTAATCCCAGCACGTGGGAGATGGGAGGCAGAGGCAGGCAGTTCTCTGTGAGTTCAAGGCCAAAAAAAATTTTTAATTAAAAAAAAAACAAACTGGCCCTCTTCTGACTTCTGCGGGCATTGTACAACAACATGGGTACACTTACATACATGCAGGTAATATGCTCATACACAAAATATGAAAATAATAAAATTTTTATAAATAAATTCATTAAAGTCATTGTCTCTTCTTAAACACTTCTGGCAGAAAACAAATTAAAACCAAGAGCTTGGTTTTTCATGTTATAGCAGGGGACTTTGGTGGGTTAGTGGAAGAATTTACCCTTTAGACTAGAACAGAAGAAAAGCAAAAAGTGCAACAGGCCAAGCAGTAACAGACAATCCAGACCTACAGCAATGGGCTTCAGGGGTCTCCACAAGGGAAGAGTCCTCATTGAGTTAAGGTGAACCCTTCTGCATGAATTCCACTCTATTTTTAGACAAGGCCCAGCCTCACTGTATAGCCCTGGCTGGCCTGGAACTCACTATATAGACCATGCTGGCCTGGAAATCACAGGGATTCACCTCCTGCTTCCTTCCATCACCAGCTAGGAACTGTGTTCCACTCTTGAATGGGGGTGCAGTTCTGATCAGGGAAACGAGAGCAGTTCTGTGGAATCAGTTTGCAGCTAATTTTGTTTGTCGTTGCCATTCTGATGTTCTGGTGTTTGGGCAAGCCAATCAATGGGTTTTGAGTTTAGGGCATGGTTTCTGGAACTGCCTTGTACTGAGACCCTCTTCCCTTTCTGGTCTCTGAATAACAGCCTCTTTCTACACATACCATAGTTCCAGTGCTTCCTTTTCTCCTCTGGTATTTAATGGCTCTGTTACTGCTTCTTCTCAAGGTCATTAAAAGGAAGGGGTTCTTCTAGAAAGGAAAGAGGAACCTAATCAGGGGCCCCGTTCTTTCCTTCTCCTTCCTGCCCCTTCTCCACCTGGTGAAGAGCGTGTTCTAAAGTGGCCAATGGCCTACGAGTGACTGATTGCCCAATATAGACACCCATTTAGAAACCCCGTCAATGCTCCTCTTTAATTTTCTCCATGACCCAAATAATCTCTCTTACTTTCCTTTGATCATAGCTCATTTTCCCAGGTAAAATTGTGCCTTACTTTTCTTGTTCCTTTTTTTTTTTTATTTTCTCAAAGTTATAGAAAAGTTTAAAAAGTATAGTAGTATTTTCCTTGAATCTCTTAAGAGTAAGTTTCACATACAGGATTCATTACCCTCAGACATTTCAGTATGTCCTATCAACAAGGTCATTCTTCTCTGTGACCACAAAGTACTCATCAAAAGCAGGCAATTAACACTGTAAATCTTTACTGTCCTCTGAACCTCAGATCCAGAGCCTACTCAGTGTTTTCCAGAGTGTGCCCATCTGAATCTTAATCACAAAAGAATCCAATTCAGACTCATTCAGAATCAACTTGCACTTGTGGTTTGGCATTTGTTTACTTTGATTTTTTTCTTATTATGTTTCGTTTTGTTGCATTGTTACTTCCAAAGATTACAGGTCAGTTCTTGTGTTGAATGTTCCCAAAGTTTAGATTTTCTGGAGTTTTCTCATGATTAGGTTTGTGTTATGGGTTGTTAATAGGACAGAAATGACATTATGTCTTTTGTTGTTGTTGTTGTTGTTGTTGTTGTTGTTGTTCTTTGTGTGCTACCAAGAGACATGATTCTGAACTATCTTTTTTCTTTTTGTGGTTTGTTTATAGTTCTCAATGCTGGGGATCGAACCCAGGGCATTGTGCTCACTAGGCCGGTGCTCTACCACTGAACTGCACCCTCAGCCTCTGGATTTTTGAGACAGATTCTGGCTATATACAAAATAGAATGGCTTCCAACTTGTCATCCTCTTGCCTCAGCCTCCTGAGTGTTGGAATTATAGGCATGTGCCAATATGCCAGCATTTGAATTATCCTATTTCTAATGATGTTCAAGCACTTTACTGGAACAGTGAAAACAAAGATTCTCTACTTTTAAGTCACTCTTTGTTCATTTTAAGTTGAAAATTCTGCAGCAAAGTATTTTGAAGCCTTATAATTCCCCCAATTCTTCACCATATTCTTGATTACTAATTCATTGTGTTGTTATAGATTTGTGACTTGTAATTTTATTCAACATATTATAATTACTGTCATCACTTATGTTGGTCCTCTATTCCAAATTTGTTCCTTGTGGTTCCTTTTAAGATGACTATGGTTTGGTTTTGACAGGTTCCCATTATTATAATCATAAGAGAAATGCAAATCAAAATCATAATGGCTTATCACCTGTTCGAATGGCTATTCTCAAAAACAAAAAAAGAGGAATTGGACCCCCTTGTACATTATTGATAAAAATGTAATCTATTGAAGTCACTTTGAAAAACAGTAAGATATTTCATCAAAAAAGTTCAAAGTGGAATTCCTACATGATCCAGCAACGTCACTCCTGGGTCTATATAGAAGAACTGAAACAGAGGTCTTGGAAAGACAGCAACACTTCCATGTTCACAGCAACAGTAGTCACAGTAGCCAAGGTATGAAAACAATCTAAATGACCCTCAAAGAATAAAGAAAATATTATATGTACATGTATTAAAATATTATTCAGCCTTTAAAAATTCTTCTCATATGTGAAACATGGATAAATTTAGAAGACATTGTGCTAAGTCACAGTCACAGTCATTATTCTAATCATCTGAAATGGTAAGGCTTATAGAAACAGAGGGACAGGGTGGCAGAGTGGCTAGAAGGATAAGGAAAATGAGGAATGACTATTCAATAGGTATATAGTTCTGAGTACACAAGATGAATATATTCTGAGCATCTATTTTACACCATTCTGCCTATAGTAAAGAATATGCTATTGGGCACTTAAAGATGTGTTGAGCAGGTAGACCTCATGTCAAGTGCACATACCACAACAGAAAACAAAGAATCCTTAACCTGTGGGAACGAACATGTCAACTTTCTTGACTCAGAGTGAATATTTTTTCCTGTCTCCTTACTTTTTGTTTATCTCTCATTTAGAAGAAAATGGCTATATAAATTCATATTACTTAATTCACCAAAATATTTACTTAACCCCTACTGTGTATGAAGCAGACTGATAGGCAATAGATGAAGCAAAGAAAGAGATAAAATTCTTTCAGAATATTTTTTATTTTGAAGACTATTTAGGTGACATCATTTGACATACACAAATAAAAGAGTCTCAGTATAACAAGTACCTTCACCATAAGACAGAATATTCTAATTACCACAAAATATCTATATTAGCTAGTTTTCATTTGCTGTGATAAAACACCATGACCAAGACAAGGTACAGAAGGAAGAGTTTGTTGGGCTTACAGTTTCAGAAGCTTAAGAGTCCATCATGCCAGGTAAGGCACACAGGAGGCAGCTGGAGCAGAAAGCTTAACCCTCACATCTTCCCAC